GATGGAGTGGGGGTGAGGTGTTGGGAGAATTTGGGCATGGGGAGGAGAGGAGGGAGGGGGAACTGAATCTGACATGTGTAAAAAGTTAAATAAAAATAAGGGGAAAAGTGGGGTACAGAACAAAATAGAGAATTCTCAATTGACATGTCTAAAATGGCTGAGAGACACTTAAGAAAGTACTCAACATCCCTAGTCATTCAAGAAATGCAAATCAAAACAACTCTGAGATACCCCCTTACTCTTGTCAAAATAGCTAAAATCAAAAACACTAATGACAATTTATGCTGGAGAGGATGTGAAGAAAGGGGAACACTCCTCCACTGCTGGTGGGAGTGCCTACTCCTACAGCCACTTTGGAAAGCAGTATGTAGATTCCTCAGGAAAATGAAAATCAGTCTACCACATGACCCAGCAATTCCATTCTTAGGCACATACCCAAAAGATGTACATTCATACAACAAGGACATCTTTTCCACTATGTTCATAGCAGCATTATTTGTAATAGCCAGGACCTGGAAGCAACCTAGATGCCCCTCAACTGAAGAGTGGATAGAGAAAATGTGGTACATTTACACAATGGAGTACTATTCAGCGGAAAAAAAAAACAATGGAATCTTGAAATTTGCAGGCAAATGGACAGCACTAGAAGAAACCATCCTTAGTGAGGTAACCCAGTCACAAAAAAAGACAAACATGGTATGTACTCACTCATATATGGATTTTAGATGTGAATCAGGGGAGTGCCAGCATACAATCCCACTGCCAGAGAGGCAGGGAAACAGCAAGGACCCTAAGAGAGATATACTTTGTACCCCCAGAGAAGGTGGAATGAGGCAAGATCTCCTGAGCAGATTGGGACCATAGGTTGGGGGAGGGGAGAGGGAGCCAGGAAAAAGAGAGGGGGACAAGAGGAAGGGAGAGGAGGACATGGAGAGCAGGAAGTTTGAGTTTGGGAAAGAATAGAGGAGAGCAGGATGAGAGATACCATAATAGAGGGAGCTATTCTAGGTTTGAGGGGAGATATAGCACTAATGAGAACTCCAGTGATGTAAAAGGATGACACCAACAGGCAAGCTAAGCAGTAGTGGAGAGACTACCCTAAATGCCCTTCCCTAATAATGATTTTGACGACTATCTTACATACCATCCTAGAGCCTCCATCCAGTGACAGACGGAAGCAGAGGCAGACACCCACAGATAAACACTGTACTGAACTCCTGGAACCCAGTGAAAGAGAGGGAGGAGTGATGAGCAAAGGGATCAAGACTGGGCTGGTGAAACCCAGAGAAACAACTGACCTGAACAAGGGGGAGGTCTTGGACCCCAGACTGATGGCTGAGTGGCCAGCATGGAACTGATCCAGACCCCCTGAATGTGGGTGTCAGTGAGGAGACTCAGGCAATCTATGGGGTTTTGGTGTAGTAGATCAGTATTTATCCCTGTCACACAAATGGACTTTGGGGACCCATCCCACAATGAGGGATGCTTTCTCAACCTGGACACTTTGGGGAGGGCCTGGTCCCTGCCTGGAACGAAATAACAGCCTCTAGAGAAACCCCCCATGGAGGGCCTTACCCTCCCTGTGGAATGGAGTGGGGATTGGATGAGGAGTTGGGGGGCTGGGGTAAGGGAGTGGGCATGGAGGGGAGGGAAAAGGCACTGGGGCTGACATGGGAAGCAAGCTAGTTTCTAATTTAAATACATAATTAAAAAGTGTAAAAAAAAGAAAGAAAAGAAAAACCCAGAGACAGATATTGGGATTCAAGCTGAAGAACAGAGAAGCAAAGAGCCAATAGATCTTACACTGATCAAGCTGAAATGGCAATCCTGTCTCCACGAGTCCTCAGAGGCAAAAAACTCTCCGTTCCTGTTTCCTCCTCCTTATATTCCTTTCTCTGCCCAGCGATATCACTCCTGTCTCCACCTCCCTAGTGCTAGGATCAAAGACATGAGCTCTGTTACTCTTCACTCTTGTGTAGTTCCAGGTAGCCTTGAACTCAGAGAGATCCATCTGACTGTCTCCTGAGTCCTGGGATTAAAGGTGTATATCACCACTGCCTGACCTCTAAAACTTATGGTTGACTTTGCTTTCTGACTCCTTGGGCAAGCTTTAATAAATCATAAATAATATATCACCACAAGAATATTTTTCTTTACTTATGTATTTGGGGTTTTTTTTGGTTTTTTGAGACAGGGTTTCTCTGTAGCTTTGGAGGCTGTCCTGGAACTCACTTTGTAGACCAGGCTGGCCTCGAACTCACAGAGATCCGCCTGCCTCTGCCTCCCGAGTGCTGGGATTAAAGGCGTGTGCCACCAACGCCCGGCTTGTATTTTTTTTTTTTTTTTACTCATGTAATGGTTTTCTTGAGACAGGGTCTCACTATGTAGCCCTGGCTGACCTCATACTTCCTATGTAGAACAGGCTTGCCTTGAATTCATGGAGATCCTCCTGCCTCTGTCTCCAGACTTCTGGAATCAAAGATGTGTACTACCATTCCTCGTTAAGAACATTTTATTTTCTGCCGGGCGGTGGTGGCACACGCCTTTAATCCCAGCACTCAGGAGGCAGAGGCAGGCGGATCTCTGTGAGTTCGAGGCCAGGCTGGACCGACAGCCTCCAAAACAATACAGAGAAACCCTGTCTTGAAAAAAAAAAAGAATATTTTATTTTCAACCTTAATTGTCCTGTGGGAAATTCTCACAGGTGTAGCAATAAAAGTAGATTAAAATATCATTAATTTTCTATATCAGCATTGGTTCTGGAACAGAATAACTTGAAAACATATCCAGAAATTATATATCAGGAAGAGTGGAATTGCTATTCTACAAAATGTCCAGATTCTTGCTTTTCTTCTCAAATATATGTTGAAATTTCTTTTTTGTAAAACTGAGAATTTCATACATACAGATAATATGTTTTTATCAACCCATCCCCACCCCTTTTAATAGTTGATCTCCAGTATATGATGCTGCTTGGGGAGGTTTAGAAGGGGTGACCTTGCTGGAGAAAGTACATCACTGAGGCATGGGATTTGAGGTTTCAAAGTTTTGCATCATTTCCATTTGCTGTTTCTTACTTATGGGTCAAGATATTAGCCTTCAGCTTCTGGCTCCATCTACTCCATGATGGTTCTGTAAGCTAATATCTCTGATACAGTGATCCGCAATAAACACTTCCTTCTGTATGTTGCTCTTTCTACTTTCACAACTTTATTTTTGTAGTGATCCAATCAGCACCAGAGATATCAAAATGAAAAGAGGGAAAAAGACATATTGACTTGAATAATTTTTGCACTGTAGTGTAGATCTTGATGATTTCCAAATTGCATTTCAGAACTATATTCTTGAGATGTGAGACATCTAATTCTTTAATGATAACTGAGTACAATCTTTATGACCCACTTAATAGAAGACAAGAACCAGTTCCCACCTGTTATCTCCTGACATCCACACACGTCAGGGTATGAACATATCCCATGTACAAAATAAATAATAAATTAAAATTTTAAAATGAATTCTGCACAAGTAAACTAATAAGGACACTTTATTACACATACATCTGAGAATCAAATTAATTGCAAAATCAAGTATTTTCATGATTTTTTTCTTTCATGTGCAAGTAGATACAGAAGTCAAAAACAAACATTTGTTTCTCTAGCTGTTTTACTATTATAGGTGATTCTATGCAATAAAAAGATACTCTTTCAAGAAGAAAATAGTATATGTATGCATTATTTTATATTAAACACTATTAAGAAGTCATGAGTTGAAATACTGAATCTCAGCCTTCAGATTAATGGATTCTGACATGTGGATGGGTTGTATTTCCCAAAGGTTTCATCAGCAAAGTTTCCTGAAACCTGGGGCTAGTGAAATGGCTCTTCACATAGAGGTGATTGCTGCCAGGTCTGAAAATCTAGGCCCACACAGTCAGATACACACACACACACATGAACTCAAAATAAATAACAAAATATAAAAGACTTTGAAATTATTACCATATATATATGTGTGTGTGTGTGTGTGTGTGTGTGTGTGTGTGTGTGTGTGTGTGTGTGTGTGTGTCCTGATTGTAAAATAAGCTTTCTGGATGTTACTTGGGTTACATATCATAATTGTTATGATTGATAGTTGTCTAAATCTGAGTAATGGCATGTGAACAAATAACATTAAACTATATCTACAGAAGCAAAACCTTATCCACGCAATCAAGACTGTGTGTTCCATGTTATCACATTATTTAAACAGACAAAGGCTAGAACCTCGAGTACCACAAACAAATATGAATTCTCCTTCTGCCGGTTAAAAGCTGTCATTGTTCATGTCAACAATGTGACTTGTGCCTATGTAAGAGGGGTGGCCACAAGTGCATTTCAGCCTCCCCAGTATTACTAATATTTTATTCATGATTCAAGTTCATGGGTATTGAAAACTGGGTTGAAAATGGTAAGGCTCAGTATTCTTCCCCCAACATCTTTTTGGAGGAACAGATAATAGGGAATGGATTCAAAAATGTTGATTGAAACAAAAAATGAGAAGTATCAATTGAGAAAAATCCACACAAAGCTTTACAAAAAACATAGTAACTAGTTGTGCCCAGAAAATAAAGTTCTAGTAGAGATGAGAAATTGCATTTTTGTTTAACAATCAGCTACATGTAAGTTTTAAGTTTAGAAATCAGGTTTAAAGAATCTCCCTTCCAGTTAAAATACTATAACATCTTGGTTTTCATCTTCCGTTTTCTTAATAGGCACATAAAGCCAATGAATACAAATCTACCTGAAACATGGGACAGGCATCAGCATCAGACTGATAATAAAATTTAATGACTTCTTAATGTAGTAGTAATGGAGTAGTAAAGTTCTCCAGGAACAATTCTGCATAGTAAATAACCCAATGTCAATGTCAACACACAACTGCTAACTGGGATTCAGGACACTGCTCCAGCCAATCATCCTGAAAGACTGTTATAAAAGGCAAGGAGGTGACTCTGAGCCTTGTCAATTGGTCTGTTCTGGGCAGCTGCAAGTTGGACAGTTGCTCACACATGATGAGGGTCCTCATCCTCCTGCTCATGCTGCATCTGCTCAGCATCTCCAGTGTGATGAATAAGAGTATCAAAAAGAAGGTAACAGGTCTGCATGGGAGGAGGCTGTGGGGGTGGGTATTCTGGGAATAGATAGATGCAGAGAGACACAGACAGAGGCATTGGGGGTCTGTGGGGGAGGCAGAGACAGACAGAGATAAAGGGGCAGAAAGTCAAAGAGAGGGGAAAGAACATTCTGGAAGTTAGTATTCTCTATGTCTGGATGTGAAGAGTGACAAACAGGGTAGGGGGTAGTCTAATGGCTGTTTTTCTGAAAGAAACAGAGGGACAAAGATCAAGAGATAGAAAGATATATAGACAGATGGTTGATAGACAGACAGACAGAGAGACAGGAGAGAGCGCTCTGGAAATTAATATTCTATACATTTGAGAGTAGAGATAAAGGGAGAGAATGGTGGTTTTCTGAGATAGAGACACAGAGAAAGAGTGCAAGAGCCAGAGATGCACACAGATTAATGCTTCTGAAGGTAAGTTTTCTGTGTGTCTTCATGAGACAGAGAGAGATGGGAGAGAGGAAAGAATGTTTGGAAGCAAGTATTCATTATGTCTCGGAGTATAGAGTAGCTAAGAGACAGAAAATGATCTAAAGGGTAGTTTTCAGAGAGATAGAGACAGAGATGAAGAGAGACACAAAGACAAACATAGAGAGAGACATGGAAAGAGAATGTCCATCAGTCTGACACCAAGGATAAGTTCAACTTTCCATGAAAATCTGTACAACTACATCACTTCCTACATTTCCACTCATGTCCCTCACCCTGTGAAGAAATGGAAGCCATGATGATGAATACAATGAAATAGTTGAAAGAGTGTAAATTGTACTAATATTTCTGTTTGCAGTGGCCACTGTCTAATTTGGCCTGTTATCCAAAATTAAAAGTAAGGACTCACGCAGATCTGCAGAAAATGCAAGATTACTCCATTCGAGGCAAAACTAGAGTGCAGATTACAGACAGACACATTGCCAAGATTGACAGTTGTCCACATGACTGACAGGACTCAAGGGCCCCAAGCTATTATGTGCATCTCTTCCAGGTGTCCCAAAGACAGACAAACTGGTTACTAAGGGGCCTGAATTTTTTATTATGAGATTAAATCATTGATTTCTCCAACTGTATATGTACCTTACCATAATTCATCTGCCTAATATTACACAAGGCGTAAAGTGGCCAGTAGGATAAGGTTATCTAAAGAACATGTTTTGTCTTACTGGGTGTACACCCAAAGCCATTTCAGGCCAGATCAGTATTTTTATTCTTCTTACCTGAATACATTGAGAATATACTTGAATGGAAACTGTCTGGACTTGATCATTGTTAGGGATGTAGGAAACACTACACCATCTTCAGAGAGAGATGTGCGAGTAGCCACATGCAGGTGGGGAGGGAATTATTAAGGAGCTCTTATATGGATAGCACTACACAATTTCTCATAGATGGGTGTAAGAGTAGCCTGATACAAATGAGTAGAGACGGGAAGATGTTGTTATATGGAGAACTCTACACCATTGTTCAGAGAGGAGTTTGTGAATAGCCTGAAAGAGGTTGTGGGGAGACTAAAATCATTATTAGATTAGTTGTGCAGAATATGCATAAACATAAAGAAGCTAAGCTGCCTAATGCATTATTACAAGATCAAGTCATGAATTATCCCATCCAAGCTGAGTCCCAGGTTACTAAACTATCCCCTACTCTTACCTACATTGTTTCCAAAGCCACTTTTATTTCCAGGTTGATGGGAATTGGCGAACTGTTTACTTAGCTTCCAGTACCTTGGAGAAGATAAGTGAAGGTGCACCCTTGAGGACCTACTTCCGTCACATCGAATGTTTGAAGAAATGCAAGAAAATCTTCCTCTATTTTTATGTCAAGTAAGATATAAAACAAAATAGACAAAACAATCCACGTGGTGGGCTGTGGACAGAGAAACATGATGTTTTCAGACAATGCTCATGTCAGTGAACACCCACAGCACTAAGTAAGGATTCTTAAATCACTTTTCTCTATATGGTCCACAGAATGACATATGACAGCCACACTTTTAATTTATAATAAATGAATTTACTTAGTATGTGGCAAGCCAAAGTAAAATAATAAATATAAAGAGATAAGTAGTGATTACATATATATGACAAATAAATACATAGACAATGGATATATCAGGAGATAGATGATACATGTATATGTAGGCAGATAGATAATAGGTAATTAAATAGATGATATTCATACATACAAACATATGTATCATAACATGATAGATAGATAGATAGATAGACAGGCAGATAGACAAACAGATAGACAAACAGATAGATAGATGGTAGGTGAATAATGGATAGAAGGACAGATAGATGCATTCACACATATGTAGATATAAATAATAGGTATATAAATAAATAGATAATAGATCAATCTTTCTTTCTGGGGTAATCAGAGAAAACCATGAGAAAAGCAGGCTTGGGTGAAAAATTCATGTGGAAAATTCTGTGTTCAAAACCAGCACCTTGGGCAAGTCAAACAGCATATGACAATTTACCAAATTAATATATATTACAATTATTTCATTTTTGTTTATCACTCCTCAAAAACACAGCTGGGGGAGAAGATACATCAAAAAATTATTTGGGACAATTTCAATGCTTTAAAACTATCTGGATATAAGTCAATTTATTCATTTCTATCTGGAATCACAGAAGTTTTAATTTACATGCAAATATTTGAAACTTTTCATTAATTAATGATTTATTTATAATTTCAGTTTACTGAAACATAGTCTCTGCATAATGTGTTGGCTTTGACCTCAATACAGAGTAGAGAATAAACTTTTTAATTTTTATTTATGATATTTATGTTGGTTTTTCAAGAAAGAGTTTCTCTGGCTATCCTGGAACTGACTTTGTAGACCAGACTGGCCTTGAGCTCAGAGATGTGACTGATCCTACCTCCTGTGTGCTAGGATCAAAAGTGTGTACCACCACAGCCATCTATTTTTTAATGTTTTTATTTTTATTTTTTAATTTTTTGAGAATAACATTGAACCTAGCCTCCTGCAACAGTGTCCCAAGGGTTGAGATGACGAGAAATACCACAATGCTTGGATTGACATTTAAATTTAACACACCTAAAACTATTCAAAAGAGTAATAATTGTTCAAAATCAATTAGGTTAACACACTAACATGTTGAAGGAGAGATAAAATTTTCATTTTTCAGATACTTTTTTGAAGCTAAAACATAATTACATCATTTTCCCCTTCCTTTTTCCCTCCAGACCTTCCCACATGCTCTTTTCCCTTGGTTTCTCTCAAATCCTACAACCCCTCTTCTTTAATTGTTCATATACATATATATTCTTAGATATTAAAATACAACCTGTTCATCCCATATAATGTTATTGTATAAATATGATCTCAGGGCAACAACTTGATATTCAAAAACCAAGTGGTTTTGCAGGGAGGGAGGGCTTTTCCTCAAGAAAGACTATAAAATATCCTAAAACTTGTATGGGACCAGAAAAGACCTGGGGTAGCTAACACAATACTGAGCAAAAAGAACAGTGCTGGAGGGATCACCATTCCAAACATAAATGGTATTTTTAAAGTGCTGAGAATGGACCCTAAGACCTCCAATGTGCTACATGGAGCTACATCCCCGGTCTAAACTACTATTCCCATCTTTTCTTTTTGGTTACCTTTTTTCTTGGTTTTTCAAGACAGGATTTCTCTGTGTAGCTTTTGGAGCCTGTCCTAGAACTCGTTCTGTAGACCAGGCTATCCTCAAACTCACAGAGGTCCACATGCCTCTGCCTCCCAAGTGCTGGGATTAAAGGCATTCACCACTACCGCCCAGTTATTCCCATATTTAAAGCCATAAAGACAAATCTAAGATGAGTCTGTCAACTATTAGTCACATGAACCTCTGCTGAGAAAATATAGATCTGAATACCTGGTTGTCCCTGTGGCTCTATGGATCTCCTAATCAGTTAAAGTACATCCCAATCTAAATCTTCACAGGAAACTATTCTAGGCTGATTTTGAAGCTATTTAAATGCACAAAGCAATTTCTGCTGTACAATCTATAAGATTAGTGGCGTTTATGAGAGGTTAAAAAAATAAAAACATGATTACAATGTAAATATGGAAGCTAGACTAATATATGGAGGATGCTGCGGTGTACTCTGTACCAGGTGGCCTTGCACCCTTTTAGCTCAATGTCTACAAACATTTCTCATCTCAGATTGGTGTAAAATCTTTGCTCAATACTTTTTTTCTTTTATCAATGATTGTGACTGGGTACTGGGGCTTCAGCTGTGTTGGGAGAATACTTCCCCAACATGCACCACAGATCCCAGGCCTCTATCCTCAGCACACAGGTGTGGTCCTATATGCCCATCATCTCAGAGCTTGGTGAGTGGGGGTGAGAAAATCACGGGTTCAAGGTCATTTATCAGGAAGGGGTCAGGACAAGTGACAGGAGTCACACAGAGGAGCTGATTCTGTACCATCAGATACCTGCAAAACCCTAACGTGGTGATTGATGGCATTTAAGTGTGTTATTGATTATATTTAGGAAGGATGTCATACAACAACATATGCTTATGACAGATCTACAGATGAAAACATTATTAGCACTAAACCGTCCTCTCATTCATGTGAAATCCAAAATCAGGGCCCTGGAGTGATCCAAGATAAGACAACATCTGTGCATTTGTTTTTCAGGAAAGGAAACAACTGCCAACTGTATGAAATCACAGGAAAGAGAAATCAAGAACTTTACCAGGCAGATTGTGAGTAGAAGATACCAGGGTGAATGCATGGCCCTAAATTTTTTTAATTCACAGTCCTAGTTGTATTTTGCATATCTGGATATCTACATTCCAGTTCAGTCATCTCTACAAATTAAAGACATGATTTTAGAGAAAGCCCCTTCAATGTCTTCCTCGTTATTTTTGGATCTAATAACAGATATGATTTGATTTGTTGTGGTTGTTAATGTTTTTGTTTTCATATTTGTTTTTTTTAATTGCCTGCTGAATTCTTTTTTTTTTTTTTTTTTTTTTTTTTTGGTTTTACGAGACAGGGTTTCTCTGTATTGTTTTGGAGGCTGTCGGTCCAGCCCGGCCTCGAACTCACAGAGATCCGCCTGCCTCTGCCTCTCGAGTGCTGGGATTAAAGGCGTGCACCACCACTGCCCAACTGCTGAATTCTTTTTTAACTTAAATTTAAATTAGAAACAAGATTGCTTCACCTGTCAATTCCAGGTCCCTCTCCCTTTCCCTCCCCTCCTCCCACACCCTCCCACCAACCCCTCCAATATCCCCTCATTTCCCTAGGGAGGGTGAGGCCCTCCATGGGGGTGTCCATAGTCTGTCATTTGTTTTTAAGTGACTTTTTCAAACTTTATTTATTTAGCGTGTCTTTGTACCAGGCACACTTCCATCCTGTAGCTTTAGGCCTAAACTAAATCACAGACACCAGTTTGAGAATGGTTAAAAGAATCAAAAAGTAATTTCAGCATTTAAAAAAATAACAATGCAAAATAAGAACTGGAATTTTATCATTGATTAAAATTACTCCCAGCAATTTTCAAACATGAATCTTGTAATGTGTGGGAGGAATTCTGTGAGTTTGGAGCCAACCCGGTCTGCACAGCAAGTTTCAGGCAAACCAGGGCTACGTAGCGTGACCAGTCTCAGAAGGAAAATGACTTAACACTGGCATGAGAAAGAACAGTCATCATATGGGGGCAGGTCTTATGTCTGTTCCTTCCCCTCTTTAACAAGGAATGTTAATGAAGTAGCGAGTGTATTGGAGTCATGTACAAGAGTATGTGGGACTCAGATACGACTACATTTCTGAAGAGCCAACCCCACCTTAGGGACACTCCTGAAAGTTGCACCCCTGGAACTGTGTATAAGTAAAGCTAACAGGCAGCGAGGCTAGTCAGGGAGCCTCTTCCCTCAACAGCTGTTTGCCATAACTTTATGTAGTAGCCCATTAAAAGTTGTTATTTTCAAAAATTTCCTGAGACTTGTGGGTTATTTGCTTCTTGAATCTCATGAGCTTCCATTACAGAATGTTGCAGTTTGGAAGAAATTGCTATGTGGCATGCTCTCTAGTTTCTGCCATGTGTCTGAAGAAGAACTGGTAAAGTTAGATAACTGCACCACTAAATGTAATAGGACTCATGAAAATGCACATATGTAATATATATGTTATCATATATTATATACAGTCATGCAGATGTTCTTAATGTTATACATACATGTGTATACTTATAACCACACTGTTATCCTCAGCAAGTAAGAGCATTGCAGTATGCCACCTTCTGTGCACCTACACATCCTCGTAGCAGGATCATCGCTACCCCAAATCAATATAGGTTCTACATATCTCTAGGTAACTATGGGATACTAAATATGTTTCCTATCTTACAACAGGAGTATGAACTTGCTTTCTTAATTCCCTGTCTGTCTTGATTGGTTGGAATATGTGGAGCAGAATATTATTGGACAGAGACTGTATTATCCATCTGCGCATTAATAAGGATGTGGTATGAATGATCTTGGATGATCATTTTGTAATCTTATATGTATATTTTTACATATTTCTTATTTATCTCAGATGAAGGGAAAACAACATTCATTGTAAAGAAGGTGACTGGTAACATATTGCTGTTTCATTATTTTAACAAGGACATTCAAGGCAAAGTCACACGTGTGGCTGGAATTTTGGGTGAGTATCATACGTGGAATTCATCAATCAAGGGTTTTGTTCAAGGACATGATTGAGTGTGCATCGCTGTGCACAAAGCTTGCAGTATGTTCATACATCTGACTCCATTCTTCATGTTGATAAACCACTGAAGCTATGATAGTCAGCTTTGACAATCAATTTAGCACAATCCAGAATCCCCTGGGAAGGGTCTCAGAGGGGTATTTCCCACTGCAGACTGATCTGTGGGGTGTCTTTATTGATGGTTGACATAAGAAGGCTCTACTCACTGTGAGCAGCACCATTCTCCAGCAGGGGGATGATGTACTGTGAGCTTCAACTGTCAACTGACACAACCCAGAATCCTCCGGGAATGGTTTTAGTGAGAGATTTATTACATCAGACTAGACCATGAGCATGTCTGTGGGAGGGTCTTGAATGATGACACAAGGGGGAGCTTTTCCCATTGTGGTGAGCATCATTTCCTGGGCAGACTATCCTGAACTGTGTAAGATTAGAGAAAGATGGATAAAAACAATCATACATGCTTTCATTCTTTGTTTCTGACTATGGATGTGGTGTGTCAGGTCCCCAAAATTTATTTCACTATAGCAATTAAATGTGCTATAACTGGGTAATTAGTGCAAAAATCAACCCTTTTCTCCTGTAAATTATTTTGGTCAAAGCATTTGGTAAGAATATTGAACAAAGAAATTGAGATATTGAGAGATTATCTGTTAAAAATAAACAAATGCTTTTTCTTTTGGATACAGAAGATTTTAATGAAATTTTCACACATCTTTTTCCAGCATTTTTGAATTATACATCAACAAATCATCATGTTCTCACTTAAGGGTAGTCTGAGCTTCCCATCTATTAACTAAGCAGAAATTGAAATATTACTTGACCACATTAAGTGGGTTTGTTGATTGGATTCATATCAACTACAAATCCTGGCTTTCAGCATTATTGTTTCAAGCAATCTTTACAACTCTTGACTTGTGAATCTTAATTATCATGTAGCTTAAGATCTGACTATCCAAAAATTAAGGTTCTCATAAACGCAAACTATCTTGAACTGACAAATTCCTAATCCTGTCATCAAAGGCACGGTAGTCTTGTATGATACCCTCATTTCCTACCAGAATTAAACCTTTATTTCTGAAATTAATAGAAAGAGATTGTATTTCATTTGGGACATGTTCCTCATTAGCGTAGGTTTGTTTTTTTATGTCCTGTTGTTGTACCTGCATTTAAGTGCACCATGGGTGTGCTTGGTGCATATAGTGGCCACAATACAACCACTGGTCATGCACCACCGTGTGTGTGCTGGGAGCTGAACTTAGGTCCTTAAGCATTCTTAACCACTGAGTCAGATGGCACTCCTCTCATATTTATGATAATTTCAGATCAGTTGGTTCTGTCATCTGAGGAAACATCAAGAACCCCTAGGAATAGATACTGGAACATAAATAGAAACAAAATAATGATATACAGTAGTGATAGTATAAATGCTAATGATCAATCATTGTTTTCTGGAATTGCTTTTGAGGCTGTGTAGGAGTTCAGTATATTGAAGTCCACAAAAAAATTGATGATATTACAAGAACAGGAAAACATGGTATGTTACATCCTGGGATTCACCCAGTATTTTCTTTTCTCAGGAGAAGGATTTAGTTGAGCATTATCAATATAATGGTGGAAACAGGAGTGACATTGGCACTTTCAGGAAACTAAGCTGGGTGCTAATATTGTGACATCTTCTTCCTTATACACTATGAAATGCAGCAAAAACCAAACTTCTGACTAAGGATGAGATGAAACAGTACATGGACTTCGTAGAAGAAATTGGCATTGAGGATGAGAATGTGCAACGCATCCTGGACACAGGTAAAATAGCAACCTGCATGTGTGACTTTCATTTTGCATTTTTATAATAAATGTCATTTTTAATTATCTGAGGTGTTGTGAAGATGACTCTGGGGGAAGTGCACACAAGCAAGCATGAGACCCTCAGTTTGGGTCCCAGCACCCATGGAGAAAGCCAAGAATACTAGAGCTGGGAAGGGGTGGGGACAGAAGGAGGCCTGGAACTTTCTGGCAACAGATATATGTGAAAGATCTTGTTTCAAAATTACTAATGTGTAGAATGAATAAGGAAGATGTTAAAAAGTCAACCTCTTGCCTATACATGCTTGAGTGAACACCTGTACACTCACTCACATGACCATGAATACACCAATGAAACATTAACACAAAAAAAATCTATCTGAAATGAAACTTGGCTCCTAGGATCATCTGTTCAAATATTCTGCTCAAGACCTAGCTTTTTATCTGCATTTTTACGAGAATAGCTCATATGTAATAATGATATTATTAATATTATGTTAAAATAATAAATTCTTTTAAATAATAATGTTATATCAAAATAACACATTACTTCAATAATATTATTATAATAAAAATAATATCATTTTTCCATGTTCACTCTCTTTTAGACACCTGTCCAAGCAACATTAGAATTAGGTGAGTCAAAGAATGTTCATTTTATATCTTGATTTTAATTAATTTCTGTTTTTAGTATTTTATTTGTTCTTTAACATTTTCATATATGTATATAACATATTTTGATCTTATCTACTCTCCCACACACATTTTTTGTGTTACCCTCCTCCCAACCCAGATGACTATTGATGGCTGAGCATCCATTGTCACTTATCCTTAGCACTTTGACCAGCTTTGAAATTCTGCATGAACCACTCCTCACTCTAAAAAGTTGACCTGATGCTAAATGTGGAGGCACACACCTTTAATCTCAACCCACACATGTGAGTTTGAGGCCAGTGTGATCTATATAGTGAGTTCCAGGACAGCCAGAGGCTCTGCCTTAAAAAATTATAATTAAATAAAATAAAGTAAAAAATTGACTTGACAAAAGTTTAAGGCAGCAAAAATCTATGCGTATTTTTAAGATGGTAGCTTGGCAACATAGCAGTTTATCACCACTGGTATCCCCCTTAGTCTCCATGATCTCCATTGTCTTGGGCTTTAATAGAAATACAATAGAAACCCACCCCTACTCCTGTCCTTCCCTAGACATAAGATTCCCTCCCATGGAGCTAGCATCAAATCCAATAAGAAAGTGATTGGTTACCCCAGGATGGCCTTTATTGCACCAGGGGGCACAAGGCTGCATTTGAAGCATGCAGGGATATCGTGGTGACATCATCCGTGTCATACCCCCACATACACAGCCTACAGATTACCTCCAAGCACTGTGGAAGCCAGACAGCAGGGAAAGAGTTTCCTAGTCCATTTCAGGTTGATTTCTTGATGCCCTGCAACCACAGCATGTAGTGTCTTCAGCAACGGTGTCCTACCATTTAGTTTTGGTAAACAACCAAGAGATATGACAATAGCCAAGTTGTTTTGGTGACTCCAGGACTTCCCTTCATTAATAAATGATAGGATGGCAACCCATGCCTGTAAATTAGATTTTCCTTGAGAAACCCATGTCATCCAAAAACAGTATTGTATCTTTTCAGGATTCCTTTGATGAATCTCTCTCTCTCTCTCTCTCTCTCTCTCTCTCTCTCTCTCTCTCTCTCTCTCTCTCTCTCGCTCGCTCTCGCTCTCTCTCTCTCTCTCTCTCTCTCTCGATTTTCAAGACAGGGTTTTTCTGTGTAGCTTTGGAGCCTATCCTGGCACTCGCTCTGTAGACCAGGCTGGCCTCGAACTCACAGAGATGCGCCTGCCTGTGCCTCCCAAGCGCTGGGATTAAAGGCATGTGCTACCAACATCCAGCTTAAAAGTCTTTCTTTTATTGTTTGTTTCTGTTTTTTGTTTTTCGAGACAGGGTTTCTCTACATTGCTTTGGAGGCTGTCCTGGTACTTACTCTGTAGACCAGGTTGGGCTTGAACTCACAGAGATCCTCCTGCCTCTGCCTCCCAAATGCTGGGATTAAAGGTATGCACCATCAACACCAGGCTAAAACTCTCTATTTTTAATGCTACATTGTAATTAACTTACTAAATAGTATATTTCTGTAATTTTGGTTGACTCAGCCCTACTCTGTTCCGACCTTACAGATGACAACATCAGGAATCTTCCAGTATGTTCATCCTGGAACCTGAAACATCAATATGAAAATGAAGCAACTTTTCTCTCAGATCACATCTTCCCATTTGCTGCAAATTATGATTCCTGTCTACATGCTTTCTCTTTCATCCATGCTTTCCTGTGTTCTAATCAGTGTTAGTGCATCTTTGAATATTTAAATAAATTTATTTCACTTGCATACAAGTCTTTGAAGAAAGTAAACTAAAGCAAAATGCACAGAAACAACTATTTGACTTTTTTAAAGAGAGATGGCTCAAAGGTTATGAGTGCTCACTGCTCTTCCAAAAAACCTGAGTTTGACTGTTAGCACCCACATTTGGCAGCTCACAACTGCAGCTCCAGGGAACCTGGCACCCTGTTCTGGACTCCTTGAGCACTGCACACACACACACACACACACACACACACACACACACACACACACCATAAATCTTTGCAAAAAATCTATTTGAATGCAAGTATGGATTAAGAATATCAGATAATTTTTATTAAGAATAAATTCAGGGTCTGGTGTGAAGCTCAGTTGCTAAAGTGTCTACCATGCAAGCATAAAGCCCTGTGTTCAATTCTTAAACTCCATGTGAAGAGCCACGTGGTGGACCATGTCTGTGATTTTACCACCAAGGAGGGAAGTTGAAACAGATGAATTCTCGGATGTCACCAGGAGCCAGCCTAGACTCCTTGGAAAATCTGAGGCCAGTGAGAGACCATAACAAAAAATAAGGTGGATATGTATGAAAGATGGTATCTGACATCATTCTTTGGCCATCAACATTCAGATGCATACACGTGCATCCACAAACACAGGTGCTCAACTACACACACACACACACACACACACACACACAGTCTTATTGTTCCTGCATTTTACAGACCCCACTACTAATGTTTTTACTTTTAGAAAAGAGGGTAAATTTCTATATTGACTGCTAAAATTGAACATCAAAAGGTTTGTGTGCTGTTATCTTTATGTCAACTTAACACAAGCCATAGTCACTTGGGAAGGGAGAAGCTCAGTAGAGAAAATGCTTCCACCAGGTTGGTCTGTGGGAAAAGCTCTGGAACATATTTTTGATTAATGGTTGATATGGGAGGGGTCAGTCAGCTCACTGTGGAAAACACTGCTGAGCAAGCAATGAGGAGTCAGCCAGTAAGCAGCACTCCTCCATGGCATGGCCTCTGAATCAGATCCTGCCTCCAGATTCCTGCCTTTACTTCCCCAAATGATGGACTACAATATGTAAGATGAAATAAACCCTTTCCTCCTTCCTCCCCATGTTGCGTTTGGTCATGGTGTTTATCACATGTAAAGAGAAGCCTTTTCCTTGTCAGCCGCTTGCCAGTCACCTGTGCTCTGCCGCGTTGTAGTCCCCAAATAACACACAAGACGCCGTATTAATTATGAAGCTGTTGGCCTTGCTTGTTTCTTACTGGGTAGCTCTAACTTAAGTATTTACCCCATAATTGTTGATCTAAGTATTTCTCTTACCGGAGAAGTTTCCAGGCTTCTTATCCCTATGGCAGTTACATCTTGACTCCCTGTGTTTCTCCTTCCCAGCATACTCCTCGACTCCTAGTTCCACCTATCTTGCTTCCCTATTGGCCAACAGTGCTTTATTGACATATACACAGGACTTCCCCAACAATCACAGATATGGAAACCCTGACTAAGACACATGGTGATGTTGGAGAGTTTAGATGAATAATCACTTTTCCTTCTCTCTCTTTCTTTCCTTCTTTCTTTCTTTCTTTCTTCCTTCCTTCCTTCCTTTCTTGGATTTTTCAAGACAGGGTTTCTCTGTGTATCCCTGGCTGTCCTGGAATTTGCTCTATAAACTAGGCTGGCCTTTAACTCAGGAATAGACCTGCTTCTGCTTCCCTAGTATTGGGATTAAAAGCATGTGTCACCACCACCAAGCCACAAATCATTTCTTAAAAGAAAGTTGAAAACGAATGAGCAAATACCCAACTCTATGGAAAATACCATCTAGTACAGAGTACCACAATCATTTAATTTCTATTTTCCTATGAATAGACCTGGATAACATCGCTTCTCTTTTGGTATCTTCATTTCCTGGAATTTGTCAAAAATATGTCTTTCTAAAATCTTTTACTGACCTCCTTAATTACTGTATTTACACATGGGAATCCATTTATCAAATACCTACAGTAAACACATTTATGTGCCTGTTCATAAATAAAATACGGTGTCAAAGAATCAGTGGAAGCCCCTGTTCCTGTGGATTTGCATAGATGACATGTTGAAGAGTTTACTAAATAAATTTGTGCATGCATATAATAGTTTTCTTCTTTCTGTGAGAAATACAAAGAAAAGGAAATAGGTTCTGATGAAAGTAGTGTCAAAATGAGCTATAAACACAGTCATTTTGGAAATGACTCAGTAGCAGAAAAACTTTGGGGATCAGTTTATAGGTTTACAAAAGCCTAGTGCCATCTAGACACTTAGAGAAAAGTTGGGAAATAGTACTGTGTTTTGCCAAATCATTTGAGAATGATGCATGAGTACACTGTATTAGCATCATTCCCACTCCTCTTTTTCCTTCCAACTCTTCTTGTGTTCCTCCACCACTCCTCAAATTCATTATTTCAATAATTATTTTTGATTTAGATAGACAGATAGATAAACAGATGATAGAAAATGATACATAGACAATAGATAAAAATGTGACTATCAGAACATTTATACTAGTATGTATTATTAGAATATATGTGAATTGTATATATGAATATATGTATGAACATACATGGCTATATATGTGAATGTGAGCATACATCTTCTAAACATATATATATATATGTGTGTGTGCAAAAATATGCAAGATCTACTGAATCCAATTGTCATTGATATTATTTGCATGTGTTTAGTGGTAATCACTTGAAATTGAGGTCTTTTACTGGATAGTTTTATTTCAACTTGACACAAGCTAGACCTTTCTGAAAGGAGGGAACCTCAATTAAGAAAATGTCTCCATGAAAAGGGATTATTTCCCTTACATGCCAAATTCACAGTCTTTCATTTAGTCCTTGTTTATGGTTCTCCTGTACCCAGTCCTCCAAGATATTCCCCTCCCCCCTCTCTCTGTCATTAGAAATAAACAGGCATTTAAACTTATCTTTGTTTTCTTCCACACTGCTGTATCACCTTCCAAAGAATAGTACAGCTCCACAGAGTGCTGGCCCCTCCTTCATAAATCATTAATCGAGAAAATGCATAGAATTGTAGTTCCCATTCCCAAATAATCCTAGCTTACATCACATGGAGGAAAACCCAACCAGGATAAGGACCTTGAGTTAAGTGCCAGCCTGGGCTACGTAGTAAAAATAAAATCAAATAAAGTAAATTACTAACTAAAAAAAAGAAAATGTCTCCACAAGGTCCTGCTGTAAGGCATTTTCTTAATTAGTAATCAATGGGAGAGTGCCCAGGTCATTGTAAGTGTCACTATCCCTGGACTGGTGATCCTGTGTTCTATAAGAAAGAAGGCTGAGCAAACCACATGAATCAAGCTAAGCATTACCACTCCATGACCTCTGCATCAGATCCTGCCTCTAGGTTCCTGCCCTACTTGAGTTACTATTCTAACTTCCTTTAATGATGAACAGTAGTGTGTAAGTGTAAGTGTAAGCCAAACAAACGCTTTCCTCTCCAAGTTTCTTTGGTCATGATGCTTCATCACAGAAATAGTAACCCTAATTAAGACAGATCTTAATGTGGACTGGTTCTCCCTCTGTCACTGTTGGCTGCCTTGAATTCTCCATCCATGGGTTGGGCCTTATGAAATTTTCATCTGCCCGTGTTGGCATATTGACTGGTGTAGTCTTTGTATGCCTTATGTAGGCAACCATGAGCATGTTGATGCATGCCTTTAATCCCAGCTCTTGGAAGTCAGAGGCAGATGGATGTTTGTGAACTCAAGGCCAGCATGGTCTGCATAGTGAGACTCTTTCTCACAAAAAAAATGGCTGTAGATATTACTCAGTGTTTACTAGCACTTGTTGCTCTTGCAGAGGACCCAAATTTGTTTCCCAGCACCACATGGTGGTGCACGACCATCATTACCCTCTTCTGAATTCTGTGGCCACCTGGTGTGTACATGATACACATACATATAAGCAGGCAAAAACCATATGCATAAAGTAAATAAATCTAAAAACAAATTTAATTAGAGAAAGAGTGGGTAGAGAGCAGGGCTATAGACATTGCTCAGTGGGTAACATATTTACAGCACAAATATGGAAGCCTGAGTTTGAATCCACAGCACCCACTGAGTGCAAGGTAGGCATGATAACCTCCCTGCACACTTATGCACATGTGTATGAATTCACATGTGAACACTCAAACCACATATACATATACATTTAAGAATTAAGAAAACCTTGTCCTGAATGAAATGACAGGCTCTGGAGATCCTCCACCAAGAGCCTCACTCTTCCTGGGGATTGGAATGGGGATTGGGTGGGGGAACTGGGGGAGCCTGGTAGGGAGGAGCAGGGGAGGAAGGGAGGGAGAGGAAGCTGGTACTGACATGTGAAGCAAGTTTGTTTCTAATTTAAATTTTAAAAAGGAACAAAAATAATTAGGAAAAGACTACAGAAAGAATTAACATGTAATCTTTGAGTTACTTTGTTTTATTTTCCTTACATGTCTGCCTGCTATTGTTATTTGGTTCAGTAGGTCATGCTTTCAAAATGCCTTCTAAATTTTTATATTTACCCTCCTGGACCAAGACTGTACTCAGCTTTTTGCAAGAAAGCTGGTTTTGTGGTGAGGTGAATGCCATGACACCGGGGATTTTGCATCAGGTTCTTTGATATTTGTTCTGCAGAATAAAGCAGAAAGTTAGAAAATGGAAATTTCATAGTGTCTCTTGAGTCTTTTCTTCTTCTGATTAGTCTGTTACGTGTCTATAATGTCTCTTCATTTATCTGTGTATCCATAATCTACCATTTATCTAATCTACACATCTACCCACCCATAAATCCATTAATCCATCCACTTATCCATATGCTCAATGTCTATCACCCATCTATATATAATGCTTGTTTATTATCTAGCTAGCTAGCTATCATGTCCATCACCTTTCTAACATCCATCATTCTTAAATCTATCGTTTACTATATGTCATCTATCTGTATATCATCTATTTAACTCTCA